TAAAACTGATAAAATTTCGTTAGTATAACTGAAATTTCCAGCAGTTTGAGATGCAATAAGTAAACGAAGTCGATCTACAAGTTCATTGAGTTCATCCCAATAAATATAATCGATAGGATGATTTTGTTTATGTTTAATCATATACTGTAGTAAACTTTCTCCACTTTTTGATATATATTTACTGATCATGTCGGTGAATTTTTTTGAATTCTCATCTACTCTGATGCTGTTGTCGGGAAGATAATGCTTCCCATAGGCATTTGTCATACTGATAATTATGCCATATATGTTTTCATCTTCTTTTGTTACTTTTGATTGATCAGTTGGATTCATAAATAATAATTTTATCACCAATATAAATAAAATTATTGTCGAACCTGACTTCAGAATCACCCATCATCAGTCGATTACCTTTTAACTTTCTTATACCACACTTTGTATCTAAGTCTTCGGACAAGAGCTTAGAATCGAACATCTTTAAATACTTTACTACAGGTATGTCTTCAATAGGAGTACTTTGATGGGTAATTGTTGCTGTTGTATAAGACTCATCATCAGTTATTTCATAATCAGGTGTGAGGCTTTCTTGCTTGCTTTCAACTCCTTCTTTAGGTTCTTCTTTCTTTATTTTTCTTTCTTGAGGTTCCTCTTTAAGCAGTGTTTTATCAGCTAATTGTTTAAGAGGAGTCACCATGGGTTTAAATATTTCACTCATGGTTTGTTAAGTGATATCTCTTACAAGTTTAATCAACTTATGCTCTTGGCGTATTGCATCACTAGCTTTCGCTTTTTGATGTAATACTTTTATTTCTTGTTGCAGCTTCGTAGTTTTCATGTTGACACTTCGACAATCACATGAATAATGTACAGTTTAATGTATTCACGATGAATTTATACTTATGAAGCAATCAAATCCTCTTCTATATCGCCCATTATTAAGATCACTGTCTTCATCAATTACCAAGAAGCCATATTTATCATTATTCCAGCACATTGAACATATATCTTGAAAATGAGAATAAGTCATGTCAGTATTTACATGATCATCGTAAATGTGTTTTAAATTCATGTAATCTTGTCTGAAAAGTACAAGAAAGTTTGTATCGTCACGTACCAAATTTTTGGAATTCGTGAATAAGTTTGACAAAGATAAAAGCAGTCAATATCTCTATGTCGTCCCATACAAAAATAGATTTCCATATTATCTTGTTTTTCGCATGCTACATCATCGAAAATCATGATTAAGTTCGGTTTTGCTTTATCTGGTTTTACCACTTCCTCATGCTCATTAAAAGCATTAAATTTAATACCTTTAATTGGTTCAATTAGTTTTTTTAAAAACTGATATTTAGGTTGGTGGCATGATTTTGAATACAAATAAATATTTCCAAATCGTAAGCCATTTGGATGTACAATAAGTGCTAAAAGAGTATTTGTCTTTCCACAATTTGATGGGCCACAAATAACACCACGGACACTATTTGGTCAAAGTTGTCCATGACGTTTGATATTTGTGTCTCGTGATAGGTCAAAGTTAATTACAGGTAACTTAATGTCTTGTTGATTGAACTCCATCTCGATGTAAAATGACATTCTAGCTATAAATTTACATCTTTTATGGGTGTCGAGTTAGTCGTTCTTGAACAATGATAGTGCAAAGACGTATCAAAAAACGAGGTGCTGGTATTGTTAACACACTTATAAACAAACTGCCATTTGAACTTTATATACCAGGATATTATTATTATGATCCACGAACTAAATTGAAGGAGAGATTAGCACGTGGAGATCCAGGAATCAATCCATTGGACGCTGCTTGTAAAGAACACGATATTTTATATTCGCAAAATCGAGATAACATGAAAGCTAGAGATGCAGCTAATAAAATACTTGCTAAAAAATCTGTGAAACGTGTTTTCGCGAGAGACGCAGATATTGTTGCTGAACGAATTGCTGCTCTAGGAATTACCAACGTCATGAGAGTTATATCGCAATTAGAAATGGGTTTGAAAGAGAAAAACAAAAAGGACAATGAAGTTAAACATTCTGGTGGAAAAGAAAAAATCAAAGTTCCATGTATTATATCAATGCCGCAAAAAGTGAGAGGGATTTTACCTCTCATACCTCTATTTGCAGGTTTGAGTGTAGTTGGTGCTGTAGCAGGTGGCGCTGTTGGCATTGCAAAAGCAATTAATGATGCTAGAGACGCCAAACGTCAAATAAAAGAAGCTATACGACACAACGAGAAAATGAAAGCAATAGCTTTGGGTAAAGGTTTACATCTAAAATCGCACAAGAGAGAATTAGGGTTGTATTTGAAACCGGCAAAAACGAAACTTTTAAATTTACCTCATCGTGCACTGACTGATATTGAACTTCAAAAATATGCAAAAATCATGTAAATACCCTTTTTCGTGGTATTTTTATGCGGAATAATCTACCAAAATCTACACCGTGGAAAAATGAATTAGCAATCAAGATTACATTACAGATAATTACGGACACTTGTGTTTAAAATTTTTTACGTAGGAAAGTATAAAAGTAATATGAACTTTCCAATAAGCATCAGTCATGGATGATTCACTCACGTTAACATTGTCTGGACAAACGTCCATGCTAGAAGCGTTCTATTTTCCACCAATTAAATTATCATCATCGAAAAAATATAACCTAGGACTTGTGGAATTGTTAACTTTCAATTCCACTTCAAACATCGACAACGGCAACAATACATTTTATTATACACTCAATGGTAAAGATAAAAGTATTAAAATACCCACAGGAAGCTATGAAATTGAAGACATTGAAAATTATTTGAAGAAAGCTGATACTCAATTATCAATTTCTATTAAGCCCAATAATAATGAACTACACAGTGAAGTTTACAGTGAAAATGCAACAATAAATTTCAAACCGCATGATTCTATTGGTATTTTGTTCGGCTTTAGTCCACGACTTATTTCACCAAAATTGATTCACACATCAGATTCACCATTATCTATCGTAAAAATTAATGCATTGAGGATCGAATGTGACATTACTACCGGAGCATACATGAATAATCAGTTGATACATACGATTCACAAATTTTTCCCATCAGTTCCACCAGGATATAAGATCATTGAAGTTCCATCAAACATCATTTATCTTCTAATCACCGTACAGACAATACATAATTGACAACTGCGCATTGTTGATCAAGACGGTCAATTGGTTAATTTACGTGGTGAAACTGTAACAATACTAATAATGAAAGATCATTTAATGATAATGGATACTATGATGTTGCGATACCGTTACATATGCTACTGGGATTTGCTGAAGATTATCATCGCATAATTCTCAATACCAAACATAAATTGATACTTACTCGTTCAGATACCGATCTTAATGCAATTGTACAAGCTGCAGCGGAACCTGAAGAGACGATTACGCTTATAAAAATTGAATGGATAATTCCTTATGTCGCTGTTGCAGACATAAGAAAAGTAGAATAATTGTTAAGTTATATTGCAAAAAACCACCCGATTTCAGTGGGTTTCAGATCATGGGAATTATATGAATATCCAAAGCTGCCGAATACAACCAAACACGTATGGGTCGTAAAAACATCAACTTAACTGGAAAATCCACGCTATGTTATATAAGGATTTCGAACTACACGCAAAAATGATGCTACGAAAGATGCAAGTCATTTTGATCATTGTGATTTAAGGGATGTAAAACTTTTCTGCAATTCACAATGCTATCCATATCGTAACATGAATTTTGACATAAGTCACAATCAATTTGCCTTATTATATGATATGTATAAAGATTTTCAAACAATATATGATGATAAAGAAGCAGAACCTTTGCTCACGGAAAAAAAATTTATTAATATACCACCACTTGTAGTAATCGATTGTTTTAAACAAAATAAATCCTTAAAATTAGGACCAGTTGATGTTCGACTGGAGTTCAAATCATCAAAAGCTTTTCCTGCTAACACATCAGCCTATTGTTTGATCTTACATGATCGAATAATAGAATATAAACCCTTGAGTGCGCGAATGAGAAAACTAACATAATATATTGGAAAAATTTATATATTATATTTTTCTAATTATATAAATATTATGATATATTAATCAAATGTAATTTTTTTTTTTTTCTATAAATAAATTGTGTACACAAAAAAAAAAATCATCGTTTCCATTAATTTTCTGAAAAAATCAGTCGCACAAATTAAGAAGAATGATAGCCAATTAAGGATCGATATCATGGCTTATATATATATTTTGAAAATCTTATCAATGTTTGTATTTGTCTTTAAATATTTTTTAACATTTAGTTTTTACAAGTCTGATAAATTTCTCTATACTTGTGCTTTGGGTTGCAATATGTTATGCATACCCAATTAAAAAGGATTATTTCTCGGATGTGCCTAATGATGGCATGATTTGAGTGTATACTATTTTTTAGCCTTACAACTTAGCTGATTCAAGTGAAAATTATATCTTAGAGCCACAAAACGTTTTATTCGAACTCTAAAAAGTTTTCGAGAATATTTCAGGCTCCGATTAATTTCATACTAATATCAGCTATAATATAATAATAATAATATAATATAATGATATATACGTGATATATACATAAATAATATATAAGCTCTTTTTCTCTATTCGAGGGCTTTATTGGGCCTATTAAATTTTACTCGAGCTAGTTATCAGTTGAAAAAAATCTATTCCAAATCTGGCGTAATTTCCTTGTACAGAATACTTGATTTCATAGTTATTTGATATAATGATAATTGTAATTAGTAGGATTGTAAAAACAAGAATTATAAGTTGAAATTTTGAAAAAGATTAATAATTAATTGTTAAAAAAATTTTTTGTCAACTAATGAAATGTTGAAAGTAATAAGTAAATAATAATAAATACCTTGAGAATTTTCTAAAATAGCCTTTATTTATCTCTTCAGTCCGGTAAATGAATATTTTGAATTAATTCCTACAAAGTGGGTTGTGTTCTAGAAAGCTTCAGCCTACTCCAACGTACGTGCTCTTTGATTGGTTCTTCCAATAATTCTGCCACATCGAGAACGGTTAGTGGAGGACAAGTACAACTATGGCAATTCCTTCTTGAGCTTCTATCAGATTCGTCCAATTCTTCATGCATAGCATGGGGGGATTCTAATGGTGAGTTTAAACTTACTGATCCTGATGAAGTCGCCAGAAGATGGGGACAACGTAAAAGCAAGCCGAATATGAATTATGACAAACTTTCTCGAGCTCTCAGGTAAACATTTTTTTTTCATCTCTTGAATCGTTCTGTCATTGTCAATATATGGAATCAATTAATTGGTTTGTATGATCAATAAAGGTACTACTACGATAAAAATATCATGACCAAAGTCCAGGGCAAGCGATATGCTTACAAATTTGATTTTCATGGTCTAATGATAGCTTGCCAAACTCAAGCTGGAGTGACAATTGATTCTCAGACACCTCAAAGTAGTTCTGTACGTCATAATCATCATACTCATCATGTTTATAGCACCACATCATCATTACAGCATTCAGGAGGACTACAGACGTCATCTAGACCTCCAGACCCATATAATTGCTGGTCATATCCACGATATTCTTCGATTCAATTCAAAAAATAAATTTCTTCTTATAGTTTAGTCACTTTAATTTTAAGCCCTATCTTACTAGGGACCAATCGTTCTATGGAGGTAAAAAATATTTGATTCTGGATTATTGTAAAACTCACCAAGGAGAGCATTTGTGCAAAATATGTTTACTCGGACACAATTATTACTATTGTTTAGACAATGTCAAACTTTTGCAACGTGCGTTTTTTACCTTGTACCGCTTATGTAGTGAAAACCGTGATAAATAGGAGAAAAAATAAGAATACTTTCTGTGTATAGAATCGAATTTTCTACGAAAAAAATTTGCAATAGTACCTTTTAATCATTGAAAAGGAGTGAAGCTACTTCATCCTAAAGAGCCACACGCACGATGCATGCCAGGTAAGAAAAACTGTGACATTCAGAATATTAACCCTTCGTCGGTCGCGTCCAAATTTCGACCTTGTTCGGTCGCGCCGCGGGAAATCGCCGTAAGGTTAATTTTCTTCCGACGTTGCCAATTCCTTTAATAGCAATTCGGCGCACAGTTTAAATATTACTTGATTTCAATTTTTAGTACTTATTGAAAAGAAGAAAAGTTTTTCATTTTTCCTATAAATGAAAAATCTTATTTTTAAAAATCAATAAAAAAAATCTGGTAAAATAAATGATCCGCACAAAACAGGCATCTAGGAATGCCTGTAAAAACTGGCGCTAAGTCCACATTCAAGTAAAATTAGTATAAATGGAAAAAGGTAAGATCAAAAAAACATGTGAAATCAAGTAAAACGCCAAGTTAGCTGCGTCTTTTTTCATAATTTTTTCAAACTAGCAATGTACTATTGACTTATAAAATTTCAGTTAATTTTGAAGTACAAAAAAAAAAATCTTCAAAACCAAAAAACTATGGAACTTGGCCCAATTTTTTGAATTCTTTCAACAGTTCATAGTTTTTTGGTTTTGAAGATTTTTTTTTTGTACTTCAAAATTAACTGAAATTTTATAAGTCAATAGTACATTGCTAGTTTGAAAAAATTATGAAAAAAGACGCAGCTAACTTGGCGTTTTACTTGATTTCACATGTTTTTTTGATCTTACCTTTTTCCATTTATACTAATTTTACTTGAATGTGGACTTGGCGCCAGTTTTTACAGGCATTCCTAGATACCTGTTTTGTGCGGTACAACACGCGGGAAACATTTTTCATTATTCAGAACATAGATGTCTCTTGGTTAGGCAAGAGAGAAGGAAATATTATGAGTTCAACGTGAAAGAGAGTGATAACAATACGTAACGCAAGAAAGAGGGCACTGTAGGGAGCCCAATGTGAAAGAAAGTAACAAAAGACACATTCAGTAAGAGAGAACACATGATAGAGCGCTCGATTAAGTAGAGTGAAACAGCGAGCGAAAAAATCTTGAATAGCAGAAATATCGCTGTTAGGGGCGTGGCTTATTTATAATTCCGTTAGTAATTAATAAAAAATTCTCGTTTAACGTTTAATTGGAAGCTCATGATATAAGATAACTACCTATTAAATATGAAATCATAATATGTAGCAATTATAAAGATATTTGCATATAAAGATGCGTTGATGACGTCACACAAAATTTTTCGTGTATAGAGTAGTCAGTAGCCTTGGCGCTCATGGGGGAAAGAGCGCGCTAGTGAGAAAGAGAGAGAGAGGGAAAAGGTGAATGTGCACTTGGCGCCGAGTATCTACCGCTACTCTAGATGTGTAGAACAAAACTACAATTAAACAAATATTTAGAATTTATTTTTTTCAACATTTATTTGAAATTTTTTTATCAAACTGTTACAAAATTTTAATAATAATATAAATTAAGTTGTTTTTAACATTTTAAAAAATAATTTTTATAATATTTGTTTTAAATAACCAGTCTTTCACAATAACAATATTCCACATTAACTTCAATATTCATTAAATACATTTTAATGAAATTTTGAATTCTGGGTAGTTAACATTAAAATCATATTTATCTAAAAGTTAATATTGCTCACGACGAGTATTATAACATTTAAAAGAAAAAGATAATTACTCCGCTTCATCTCCATATATTGATATTTTTTCTTGACATTCTCTGCAAAGAGTTATTGTGTGATCTTTTCAACAAATAAATCGAATACAATCACTACATTTTGTTTTTGATTTTCTATTCCAAGAGGGTGGACAAACAAAGCAAAGTCCACTCTCTTTATCATTGTTATGAACTTGAAAGATCACTTGGATCTCCTTGTAGCCAACAACTAAAAGCCTGCTCCATTTCGTTAATTTTTTTGTCTGCAAATATCGAAATTGCATTAGTATTTATATTTTAAATTAATATTTTATATTTTTGAATCTTCCATTTATTTTTGTAATTAGAAAACTCAAGAATGCTTACCTTTAGAACTATTAAATAATTTAAAATTTTTAACTGACAAAATCACGTCCACCATTTCTATTATAAATACTAATAAAGATTTGTATATGACATACACTGATTAAGTAATAATAGTAATTAGAGAAAAAAAAAGTTGTTTTAGTTATTTTATTGGCTGCCACTTCTCATGAATGACATAAAAAAAAATACTTATTAATTAACTTGAATATTTTCAATATAATCGAAATTTTATGCTTCTATAAAATCTTAACAGAAGAAAAAAAACAAAAAAATCAGTTCATTTTAAATGTTGTTGATTCTTAGATTCAAATAATTGATGTTTAATGATTTTAGGACTTTTTGTAATTTCATCGTTGTCGTTATTTATGCTCGGCGCACATTTTTGTACAGCCCAGAAGGAGGGGGCTGTTTTTGATGAGATTACACGATTTTTAGTACATATCATCTATAAGGGAATATTAAGAAAAAAAATGAAATTGTTAAAAAATATTTTAATTATTCGTATATTCGCGCTTGAGCAAAATTAACTTGTTTCCAACTTTATAATCCGTTAGGAAGGTCACGAACTTAATAAAAAAAAAACGAACGATTGCTCCATGAATAAACTCTCATTTTACTCAATTTTTGCGGAACGAAATTTTTTTCTAATTTTTCATATTATGAATAGTGCAGTAATAATACTTAATAGTACAGACCATGTTTATTTTATAATAATAAAAATATTTTTATTCTAAAAATTATAACCGGCTAAGATTATCCCATAACTTGTATTGAGACACGGTAGTGCCTTATCGCGAAGTAAGGGCAAGATGGCGGCGATTTATGGCGGGCGCACGAGACACTACCGTATCCCTCGATTTCATACTACATAAATGAAGTAAGGAGAAATAGCGATGAAAAAGTTTAGAGACCTGTATTTGTAGCCAATCGAAACCAGACGGAGTATACATAAATGGAGTGAGTTTGAAAAAATAAAAGTTTATCTCAATAATAATGCAAGGCATGTGGGAAGAAGAGATGTTGGCAAATAAACGTTTCTCGGAAATTTAAACAAATTCAGTCGCGGTCTTTTTTTTCATAACAAAGAAACTAATAATATATAAATGAAAAGATTAACCGTTTAAAATACTTATAAGTGAAACGACAACAATTTTATTCGAAAATAAAGTCAATATTGACTAAACATTGCTGTTCACAACCAAATATGACTTTCATCAATTACATATTGTTTGTAACAATACGAATTTGTTATAAGCAATTAGAAATTGTGTTTGTTGACTAACTAATGCGTATATCGCACTAATTTGGATTCTTTTAACAAAATAATGTTATTTATGACAAGATATGACTATCAACAATTACAAATTATTTATAACAATGATTTTCTTATAAAAATTACTAATGGGAAAGTCGTCTGGTTAGCACAAACACAGTGTGCTTAGACCTATTTTTTAAATTTCTTATATAATGAATAAAGCAATAATAATACTAGATAGTACGCTCAATCGAAAGCCAACAATTGCTTTCCAAGAAAATTTTCTGTTGATCGTAGAAAAAAGGATCTATTTCAAGTAATACGATCTGCTACTCTGAAAGGTTTCACACCAGCTATTAAGATAAATGAACTTTCTTTCGATACAACCTACAAAGGCTATAAATTACGACTGGTCAAAACCAAAAAATATGGATATGCAGTTCTTAGATGTTTGGTGATAAAGTCCAGAATGTGAACGTTTTTTTGCCATCACACATAACTGAAGTTTATTAACAAGACAATTATAGAGATCTCTTAAATGAATTAGCTACAAAAGGCCAGCTATTCTTAAAATATTTTGGTAGCAAATGAAAGAGCTTTATGATCTTCACAAAGATTTGCCCTTGTGTCCAGAGCATTGCATTCCATCAAACCGCAAACAATCTTAATTGGCAACAACTCTCTATCCTAAGACTAGAAATGTGATCCATTATCAATGTTACGTCTCAGTAACCGAATAGTCTCTTTTTCGAGTCAAGACCCAATCGTCCTCTACTTACCATGGGTGCGGAGACTACGCAGAATATACTTTAGATGGAGAATTAAAGAAATAGGAAAGGTTCTTAGTGCTTTACAAACCACACTGGTGCATTTAATTTTCTCAAAGAGAGATAGAGATTTGTTTTTATGATAGTCAATTCTTTATTTAATTTCTGTCATCTTTTTACTCACTAAATTGTTTTACAGCTTGGCTAACGGGTAGCTAGGTAGCAGAAGGTTGTATATGATTTTATGGTTTTATGGCTGTCTTGGTGAAAGGTTGTCGTTGGCTCGTTGGAAATCTTCGTTGAAGCCTTCTAGTTGACTGATCTTCTTTCTTCTTACACTCCCGATTTTTGTTTTAATAATATTCGTTAAGAGATAAATACACGGAGAGAATTTTATGATTAACACTACCATCAGATTATTGTAAAAATACAATAACGAATTTCAATGATAGCGAATACAATCTATATTATTAAATCAACAATGTTGATAAAATAACTTACTACTTGTGTAATCATTTTTATCATCACTTATGCTAATATGAGATTGTAGTCTTTATTTTAATGAATTGCAATTATAAATACTTGTTATTATAAAATTAACCAACTTAACTTGGTTTTGTTTACTATAATGCTATTATTTCAATTAATGATCGACTCTAATGAAATTTATGATCAAAATAATAAATTTTAAAAACTACATTTATGAATCCTACGATCAATGATGGTAATCATTACCATCAAAGATTGTTTTTTTTTTCTACCCCTAATGTTTGGCGCTGCAATCTTAAGTCAATTCGTTTAATTAATTTTTTGAAATCTCAACAGTGTTTGTGAGCATAACCTAGAGTGTCATTTATTTTTGATTTTATATCGACGTAAGTATGAATTTATTATTAATTTAAGTACAAATCTCCTAACTAACTATATAAAAATGCTTACAAAATTTTTTTCGAGTATTTTTAACGAATTATTTTTTATGAATATCCATTTTTTTATTATCTAGAAATAATATGATTTTGTGACAGGTTAGAAAAAAGAATTTAGAGATGGATAAAGGAGTAAAAAAGAGAATCAGTAGAAGTGATGATTTCGAGGGAATTGAGTCACGGAATAAAGTAATTCAAATAATGTTTATTTACTTACTAAAGTACAATTTATTCACGATTTATTTGTTAAATAATGAAATTATATGAATGTCTCCTC